GGAGGCTGAGATAGGAGGATCGCCTGAGCCCAGGAGTTTAAGGTTGCTGTAAGCTAGGCTGATGCCACAGCACTCTAGCTGAGGCAATAGAGCAAGACTCTGTCTCAAAAAAAAGGTATTAAACTAATAGGAACAGATACTATACTTGATCTTAGCTAAAAGGCTGAGAAGCAATTAGTGAATGTTTAAAGGTATAAAATAACTGAGACGTGACTCTTATGAGGAAATACCAGACAAATACAAGTTGAGAGACACTCTATATAAAACACTAAGTGTAGTCTTCAAAAAATGTGAATGTCATGAAAGACAAAGAAAGGCTGATAATAGTTCAAGATTAAGGCAAAGAAACATTAAGGCCGGGCATGGTGGTTCACACCTGTAATCCTAGTACTTTGGGAGGCCGAGATGGGAGGATCCCTTGAGGCCAGGAGTTTGAGATCAGCCTGAGCAAGAGTGAGACCCTGTCGCTACAAAAAATTGGGGGGGAAAAAAAAAAAAAAAAGAAACATGACAACTAAGTGTATGTAAGACTTTGGATTGGATCCTGGGTCAGGAAGAATAATCATGGGCATAATTGGCAAAATCCAAATATAAACTATATGAATATGGGTGAAGGCTATACAGAAATTCTTTGTATTGTTTTTGTAACTCTTACCTTACTTTGAAATTATTTTTACGAAGAGTAAATAAGATGAAATGCAAAAAAATGTAGATAATAATGCAAAAAACTATCTAAATACAACTGAATTAGAATTTCAGGGAAAAAATATAAATACAAAGTCCTAAAAGCTCAGTACAGCATTCACCAGACTAACATTTTGCAAGACCCACTGAACTATCTAGAAAAGTTCTTCTCTATGCTCCAGCTTCCTTACTTTTTTCAGCAGGCACACCATGTTTGTGTGTGGATTCAAGTGTAGGGCAAGAGGATGAGAGAGGGCCTCTTGATATTGAAGACAACAGGCATAGAACTTGCACCAGAATTCCTGCTGTAAGTTTCGAAACTCCTCCTGGGAGAATTCATACTCCGTTACACTTCCTTGAAGCTGGCAAATGGGAAAGAAGTTAAACTCTTGATATCATTCAGGATCTTTCTCCACAAAGAACATAATTGTTCAATATCATTTTACTAAGCTACAAATGAATATTCCTTATGTATTTTTTATTTTTTTCATTTTATTTGCACCTTTTAATTTTATTTTTTATACAAAGTCTAATTCCAGGTTAATCCTTATATATTAAGTGCCATAGACTATACAAATGTGTATCTAATTCTCTAAGTAAAAGGTTTAAACATTTATATTTCCGACTAACAAAGTCAAGTGAACAATTCTAGCAATTCCTCAGTACCAATCTGCCCCATATCAAGATGAAAGAAACTATCATTTTTTCTCTATCCAAATCTCACCTCACTTTCAACAGCTAACGTAACTTCTTTCTTTAGTTCACTCCAGGAAAGATCCAAATTCCTCTCAGTTCCTCGGCAGAAAATCTAAAATTAAAAGAGACATTTTAGGCCAGGAGCAGTGGCTCACGCCTGTAACCCTAGCACTTTGGAAGGCTGAGGCAGGAGGATTGCTTGAGGTCAGCAGTTTGAGACCAGCCTGAACAAAAGCAAAACCCTGTCTCTACAAAAAATAGAAAAATTAGCTGGGTGTGGTGGTATGTGCCCATAGTCTCAGCTGAGAGGCTGAGGTAGGAGGATCGCTTGAGCCCACTCTACCCAGGGCGACAGAGAGAGATTGTCTCAAAAAAAAAAAACCAAAAAAACATTTTAGAAGAGTACTATGTAATACCCAAAACTAAATGAAAAATACTCTGAATTAGACAGCAATGAAGCAATGTACAACTACACAAGAGATTGGGCACACCTGAAATACACATTTACCCCATCGCTGTGCAAATAATTTCTGAAAGAGAAATCACAGCAATTCTGAAATAGTTTCTATAGACCAGAATAAACTAAAATCCATACATCTGAAAGAATTAGAACAGAGTACCTTTAGATCATTACAAAAAGCAAAATAACTGCTGTTGCTCAGCTGGAAAGAAGATGTAGATGATGCCAAACATACAGATCCTGAGATTGGCACAAAGATAAGCTAAAATATCGATGGGGGTAGGTTACTCTAGTGGTAATGATTCTATTAAAGAAATACATTTGATAATTACCTTTATTCAATATCTCAGTGTGCAAGAGATACCATGAGAAATATTATCATATACTTAATTACTGTTAACAAGGAAGAACTGCTGATGAGATGGAGGAAAATACACAGAAAGTCATCATGTCATCCTGAAGTTTTATCAGAGAGAAAACTGAAAGCATACAATAGCCAGATATTTAAGAATGTACCTAGAAGAAAAGTTACGGGTCTGGAAACCACATCATCTGAGAGAAAGTTAAGAAACTGAGTGTTGTTTAGTCTGGAGAAAGACAACATGGAAAGACTCTTTAAATACCTGAATGGTTGCTTTATAGAAGAGAGACATGTTCTATGAAGTTCAAAAAGAAAGGAACGACCAAAAGGATGGAGGTTAAAATTCAAGTCAAAAACCTAAGAACTTTAAAATGGCACAGTTTGGGAATAATAACACACAAGAGCTAGTGAGAAACTTGTCACTGGAGGTAAAGACAATTAAAAGATGAATAAATGTCTATCAGAGAAGTTTCAGAAGGTATTCCTGCTTTGTGTTGGAGGTCAGAGTAGGAGACTGTAAGGTACTTTCGAATTCCTTGAACATAACTGTATTTTAAATCCAGGAATCTAAGTGACAATTTATGGAAGGCTATATAACTTTAAACAATACTTTTGTAAAGCACTGGGCACCTCTTAGACTATGTGACTATAAAGTTAAAATTTTTTTTCTTGAATCTGACCAACTTGGACATTCATTGTACTAACAAAATGGCACAAATAGACTATAATAAAAATTAACCAAAAAACATTTTAAATTTCTTTCAAGTATAGAGATTATATTCAGTGTAGTATGGTATCTTTTTAAAATAGCGTAGGCACTAGTTTCTCTTTTTGCCTCGGGCACGTTTCACTAGTTGTTGGGGAAGCAACCCCCACCCCTGAATCCTCACTAGGAGTCTTATTTAATAGAAAGAACATTTAAAATCAATTACGGTAGTATTTATAAACACACATTTATATAAATGCAGAAATATGTTCACTATTTAATATATACAAACCAAAATAGTAACTATTAATTATACAATATAACAAAATAAGAAATAGTCTTAAATTAACAGCAAATATTTTCTTACTGACCTGTAAAGCTTTACATAAAGCTGCATTTGTGAATCGTCCTGGTGTAAAAAGACTCTGCAAATACATCTCCTAGTAGAACATTAAAACAAAAGTTAATATCATTCTAAACAAGATAAAATTTGGAAAAATTCGAAGGAAGAATTCAACACGTAACATCAAAGTTTGAGTTTCTATTATATAAACACAGACACTGTGCCCTTCTACATTTGAGCAATAACAAGCAGTAATGTAGTTATGTTTTCACCGTGCAATGTCTTTGAGTCAACTAGATGTACTATACTGAAAATGGTGTGCTCCTCATGGAGTGCTTCACTGGGTTCCACTGGAAAACATGTTTTGTCAATGCCAAGCTTAAATTAAGGAAATGGATCTAGTTTATTGGTGATATACATTGGTAAGAGAACAATTAAACTAAGCTTGATTCTATACCATCTATAAAAGTACTCATTTTACGGCTCACACATAAAAAAAAGGACCCAATAATAATAGACATTGTATGTTAACAAAACAAACTGCAATAAGCTCTCCCAAGTGGGAAAATGAAGCAGAGAGAATAAAATGGGAATTCTCATATTGCCTAATTATTTTGACTAAGTCTCAGAAACCATATTTGTCCTTAAGTAGCAAATCTGACTGATCTTCATTCAAGTTTCCTTCCTTCTACTGAGGTTCAGGTGGATGATAAAATGACCAAGACAAAGGAGAAAACCAAAGATTTTAATAATCATCATAAGGTTTTAGCTTTCAAACAAAAGCCAAGTGTCAGTAATTATTATAACTGGAACAATAAATAACCACCATGCATCAACTCTTGGGATTAAAAACTTAGTAACATTTACTTTCAGATATTTGAAGTGGGTTTTCTACTCCTGCAAACAGTCATTGTTTCAGAATCAGAGCCCATAATCTTAATCTCATTTTAACACTAAGGCATCAGCTGAAAGCATTTTTTTCCATTTATCCTGAGGATGTCCCTGGAAAATGTGAAGAATACCTGCTGTGCTCTTTATTTCATTACCTTTTAAAATTATTTTCTTCAAAGCATACACCTCTATCAGAATTTGTCTTATTTCTAGTTTATATGCACGTATCAACATTGTTGATGTAGTGGACACCTAAGCGTTTGTGCCTGCCCAAATTCGTGCTCCCTCATTTTACTAAGAAATCCCCTACCGTTCTTTGGGGAACCATCCCTCCCTTGCCCATACTCAACTGACTTCACCAGTCCCTGCAATAGCAAGGCCCAGGCTGGACATGCATCCCATGCCAGGCCAGTGAGTGTCACATTAAGGACCTGGGATTGAGGTGCTGTTTCTTTCTTCTGGGGTTACTAAGCTCACAGAATGCAAGCTTACTCAGCGGAGGAGGGACTCTTCCCGAAAATAAACCTAACATGGATTAATGCATACTAGAGAGAAGGGAGAAACCAAGCCCTGAAGGCATTATTCCAGCCATTGCTAAAGCCAGGTCATACTGAACTTCTCAGCTACACAAGTCAACGCATTCTCCTTTGGCTTAAGTTAGTTCAGGGTGGGTTTCTGTCACCTGCAGCTGAAAGGATTCTGAGTAATACAACTGGTTCTTCTTAAAATAATGATCAGGATAAATCATCCCCTTTCATAACACTTAAGCGTTTGCTTACTCTGGGGTCTTGATCATCTCTGATGACAATCTCTTCTTCTGGCAGAGGCTGCATAAAAACTGGATTCCACTGCCCTGCAACATTACTACAAGAAAAAAAGTCCGTCAGTTTATACAGAAATGATGCATAAAAATGAAACTTATGCTGTTGGCAGTATCTGGGCTGGGAGGGCCCTGTCACTGAACCCCTGCAACAACTACTCTATTAAAAATGTTTCAAACTCATTCTTAGCAGAGTCTATTTTTTTGAGACAAGAGTCTCACTCTGTCAGCTAGGCTAGAGTGCAGTGGCATCATTATAGCTCACTGCAACCTCAGACTCCTGAGCAGCCTACCACAGGTGTGCGCCACCATGCCCAGCCAATTTTTCTATTTTTAGTAGAGATGGAGTCTCACTTTTGCTCAGGCTGGTATTGAACTCCCAACCTCAAGAGACCCTCCCACCCTGGCCTCCCAGAGTGCTAGAATTACAGGCGTGAGCCACCATGACAGGCTAGAATCTAGTTTTTATAGAAGTATTCTTGCCAAGTTTTAACAAGTACCTTCCTGAAATTAAAAGTCTAAACACAAATCTACAAATAACAGCTAATTTTTATTCTGCATTTAGTATTTAATTTTGCATTTAGTATCTAGAATTGCAATTCTAGATATTACTCACATATGCCTTATGATAAATAATTTTTTTTTTTTTTTTTTTGAGACAGAGTCTCACTCTTTTGCCCGGGCTAGAGTGAGTGCCATGGTGTCAGCCTAGCTCACAGCAACCTCAAACTCCTGGGCTCAAGCAATCCTTCTGCCTCAGCCTCCCGAGTAGCTGGGACTACAGGCATGCGCCACTATGCCTGGCTAATTTTTTCTATATATTTTTAGTTGTCCGATTAATTTCTTTCTATTTTTAGTAGAGATGGGGTCTTGCTCTTGCTCAGGCTGGTTTCGAACTCCTGAGCTCAAACAATCCACCCGCCTCAGCCTCCCAGAGAGCTAGGATTACAGGTGTGAGCTACGGCGCCTGGCCCGCTTCAGTGGTTCTTAAGCAGTGGTCCAGGTTATCCTCTACAGGTGTTTCAGGGATTATACAAGTGTTTGCTTCAAAATTGGTTTTTAAGATGTACTTGTAACTATTTAAAAACTTTAAACTGCCAGGCATGGTGGCACATGCCTATAGTCCCAGCTACTCAGGAGGATGATGGAGGAGGATCAGTTAAGCCCAGAAGTTCAAGGGTACAGTGTGTTAAGACAGCACTTGTGAATAGCCACTACACTCCAGAGCCTGGGCAACATAGCAAGACCTTCTCTCTAAAAAAAAAAAAAAAAAAAAAAAAAAAAAAAAAAACCAAAACAAAACAAAAAAACTAATATACTTTAAATAGATTATCAACAGATTAAATTATGTTATAATTTTATACTCATAAAATACTAGTTTTATATGTTCATTATCTTTTGTAAAAAAGGGCTTTCTGTTTTTAAAAAAATATGAGAAGTACTGTACTTGTCCAATCTATTTCTCATCTCATGATGAGAAAATGGAGAACACAAAGGGGCTGCAGTGAATTTTGGAAGTTGTGGGTATCAGGAATAATCTTTGCTTAGAAGTAAAGAAAACTAGAGTAGGAGTATTTTGGATATGTGTTCTCTCTCCCAAGAAATGTGGTATTTTCTTTATCTTAGTCCAATCCTAAGAATTCTCATTTTGTCTTAAAACCAAAAGGTAAGAAATAATACAAAATGCAAAAGAAATATTTCAGAAGATAATAACGACAGGCAAACCCAGGGTCGAATCCTTCAAATGAAAACCCTTGACTTGGTTGTACATAAAAAGCTCTTCTCTTAGCATGAAACTGCCTGGAGTGTGGTAGGATGACAATGTTAAGTGACCCATACTGCTCAAAGTTGATGTATTTCACAATCGTTTGGTTCTCAGCATCATGCCACAGGGCCCAGATATCCGTGGAGGTTAAGGCAAAATCAATTAGTGTCTCCTAGAAGGAAATGTGAAAAAAAGAGTTAAAACAACAAAGAAAAGGTAGTAATTCATGGTGACTTAAATTTGTATTGGTAGAAGAGGTAAAGGCATAAAAACAAAACATAGTACCACATAAACCTGGTAAAACTCAAATGAAATTTTGTTTCCACACGTCGTGAAATATTCCACTTTAAGACTACAATCCCATTACACCACGGTGAGATTAGCCAACACTTCTTTTTCTTGTACTTGTGTGATATGCAAAGGATGATTCAACCTACCTGAGAAGTGAATAGTGAGGAAATGTGATCTAGACTATAGCGGTTATTCTCAGTGCTCACCAATTGGAAAATGCAGAACTGTTAAAACACAAGTTGATAATTTATTACTTGTAATAATCAACATGTTACTTTTCTAAGCAAGGGCTACTAGCATTTAGAAACCATTTTTTTAAAAACTGTAAAATACACATAATATAAACTTTACCATCCTAAACATTTTTAAGTATAGAGTTTAGGAGTGATAAATATATTCACACTATTGTGCAACCAATCTCCAGAACTCTTTCCATCTTGCATAACTGAAACTCTATACCCATTAAACAACTCCCTGTTCCCTACAGACCCCCAGTCCCTAGCAACCACCAATTTGTTAATACTTTCTGTCTCTATGACTTTAGCTATTCTATGTACTTCATATAAGTGGAATCACATAGTATTTGTCTTTTTTTTTTTTGAGACAGAGTCTCGCTCTGTTGCCTGGGCTAGAGTGCCATGGCGTCAGCCTAGCTCACAGCAATCTCAAATTCCTGGGCTCAAGCGATCCTCCTGCCTCAGCCTCCCAAGTAGCTGGGACTACAGGTGTGTGCCACCACGCCTGGCTAATTTTTTCTGTTTTTAGTTGTCCGGCTAATTTCTTTCTATTTTTAGTAGAGACAGGGTCTCACTCTTGCTAAGGCTGGTCTTGAACACCTCACCTCAAGCGATCCTCCCACCTCAGCCTCCCAGAGTGCTGGGATTACAGGCATGAGCCACCATGCCCGACCAGTATTTGTCATTTTGTGACTGGCTTATTTTGCTTAGCATAATGTCCTTAAGGTTCACTCATGTTATAGCATGTGCCAGAATTTCCTTCCTTTTAAAAACTGAGTAATATTCAACTGCATGCATATACTATATTTTGTTTATCCATTCATCTGTCAACGGACACTTGGGTTGCTTTCACCTTTTGGCTATTGTGAATAATGTTGCTATGTATATGGTTGTACATATATCTCTTCGAGACCCTGCATTCAATTCTTTTGGGTATATAAACAGACGTATGTGTGTGTGTATACCTCACCTCAGGTAGGGTGAGGAGGGTGTCCATTGTATGGGGGTGGCCTGGTGGTATCAGCGCTCAAACAGGGTGAGAAGGGCATCCAGGCAGGGCAGTGACTTAGCATGGGGAATCAGAGCTCCAGCAGAGTGAGGGAGACAAACCCTACCTCACTGGAATGTTATTGGGATCAAATAGATAATATAGGTACAATGTATGAGCCCAAAGTAACCACAGTCCAAGTGTTTGCTATTATGAAAGTATATAAAGAGCCTGGCATAGTGCCAAACACACAATATCCAATACCTGCTTGGCTATATGATTATACTATTATATCCTACTTATCTACATACAACAGCTAGTGTTTGGATGATGATAAAAATCATTTCTAAAAATTAACTTCCCCATAACTACCAAACATCTACATAACTTTCAGTAATTCCATTTGTTCACTCAGACTTCCATATGTACTCTTTCTTATTTAGTTTTGGTTAACTTTTTCTGTCCCGTGTCTTTAAACTATTTCCTTTCATACTGACCCCTCCTTCAAGATCTTCTCATCCACATATTAGCACAAAACCCACCATCACCTCAGAAAACAACTTAACACATGAAGCACCTAGGTTGGTGCGAAGAGCTTAAATATACTCAATTAGTCTCAGCTATTTTCCCACATCAGTACACACAGAACAACTTGACATGTGTCTTACTGGTTCCATACCTGTCCTCGTTTTGGTGCATGCATGTATATCCCTAAGTAGAGTCCCATGGAAGGGGAATAAGCAAGTCGTAATTTGTGTCCAGTTCCAGCAGTGAGCCGAAGGTCTTTATTCACAGGTACATACTCTAGCATGTCAGCTACCATCAGGCACATTTGGTCCTGCCCAAGATAAATGTTAACAGGTGGTATTCAAAGAATATTCAGGCTAGAAAAACATATTTCCTATCTTTTGAGGGGGGGTACATTCATTATATCTATCACTCTATCTAGTTAATCTGCCAAAAGATCTTACAGGTTTTTGTTTTTAAAAAGCTAAGATGAAAAATATCTCTTCAGTCTGATGGATAAAATCAACAGCTCTGTTTTGTTGGTGAGTCTCGAGAAGTATTTTAGCAGCGTGATTTTAAAAACACATTCGTTGCTCTTAAGTGAAGAGTATACTTTGTACTTCAAAGAATTTCAAGTTGAAATTCTTTCAATTTTCCTGTAGGACTCATAATTTTCAAAATAAAAAGACAAGGAGTTAAGAGGGAAATGTATGCAAAATAAAGCTAAGTGAAACTGTCTGAATCTGGTAATAACCCGTAATTTCCAAACCAATTGATTTGATAATCTTTGAGAAACGGCAAGATTGATTTCAATTTTCTCATAATTCGCAATTCTATTTCAAATTATAGTAACTGTAGACAAGCATTTACCTTGTAAGACCACATTCGTAGCTTATGATCCTGACACAGAGCAAAGATAAAGGCATCATGCTCGACACAATGAACAGCAAGACTGAGGGGACGATCTGAAGGCCCTTGATCGCCCCTAAAATCATAAGGTCAAGTTTTAGTTTTACTGTTGCAAATAATCTGATCATTAGAGTTTGCAATTCAAAAGATGTAACATTTTAAGTATACACTCAGCAGAAGGAGCAAGAGCTTAGATGCTGGTATAAGACAACTACATTCCTGTTTGGTTAATAATAAATTGCTATAATAAAATTTAAAAATCTCTATATAACAATGGAACACTATTTCATTTTGTACTGTTTTACTCTAACCATCAAAAACTTTCTACTTCTAATAATTTTACACAAAATTAAATTTGAGTAAGTCAGGGCAGAGCACTGAACTATTGTGAGAACGTAAACAGTAAGCCAGTCTCTGCTGCCACATGATGTCCAGGTGCAAAAGAAATGTACTCTGGGCCAGGCACACTGGCTCAAGTCTGTAATCCTAGGCACTCTGGAAGGCTGGGGCAGGAAGATTGCTTGAGGCCAGGAGTTAGAGACTAGCCTGAGCAAGAGTGAGAAAAAATTAACTGGGCATGGTGGCATGTGCTACTCAGAAGGCTAAGGTAAGAGGATCACTTGAGTCTAGGAGTCTGAGGTTGCAGAGCGAGACTGTCTCAAAAAAAGAGAAATGTACCTGGAGTGGGGTTTTGCTCAGATAGAATAGGATATTACGCTGACTCCTCTCCTTTCCAGTATGTTTGCCTTGGAGTAAGACTGAAAGCACTAAAAGGTACTGATCAGCACAAAAAGATTACATTCTTGGGCCCTTTGATTAACCTGTCAGACACCACTTACCTGATAGCTGTTGGCATCCAGCCTATAAGCAATCTCTGCATTACTGAACTCTGTTTCAGTTCCACCAATGACACCATCCCTGTAACGACACGCAAGGTAACTCCTGATCATACTTGGAGAAACCCAAAGGCAAGAATGATGTAACCACGAACAAAATCTTTGTAACAGATGACGAGTTTCTACACTGTTGTACTAACAAAGTTTTAGGATGCACTTTTCCTACATATATCACACCTAAAATATTTTGAATCATTATTGGATCAATAAAAATAGCATTTTTATACTCCTTATGGAAATTTTTGGCATTTATAGATAGTAACCCTGAGTGGTAATAATCTCTCAGCAGAATCACTTCACTCCTTCCAAAACAATCGTGGGTTCCTTTCATGTGCTAGGCACAGTTCTAGATGCTGGAGTAGTATGCAAAACTGTAACGCTGTATAGCAGTAAACAAAACAAATTAAAAAACTCCTGTCCTCATGTAACTTACATTCCATTGAGGGGAGAAGCAGAAACAGTCAAATTAAGTAGAATGGTAATAAGTGGAGAAAAATAAGACACGAAAGGGGTTTAGAGAATGATCATCGGGGGCAGGGTTATGCAAGGGGTTGTAATTTTGAAAAGGGTGGTCAGGAAAAGCCCCACTGAAGTGATATTGAGTAAAGACCTAAAGGAGTTGAGGGAATGAGCCAAGCTTGTAGCTGGCTATCTCAGGCAAAGGCCCTGAGGTAGGAGGGTGCCTAGCATGTTCAAGGAATTCCAAGAAGGCATGTGGCTGGTAGAGAGAAGGGGGGAGGAAAGAATGAAAAGACGAGGTTTGAGAGGTAGCAGAGGGGCACTCCAAGACAACATAAGGACTCTGGGTTTATTCAAAGAGAGATGAAGAACCCTCAATGCGCAGCTTTGTGCAATGCTGTCTCATGACCCAACTTATATTTTAAATTTATCAGTCTGCCTGAGAAATTTCTGAAGAGGGGTAAGAACAGATCTGAGATATTTAGGAAGCTAATGCAAGAACCCAGACAAGAGATAGTGGTTGCTTGGAACAGGGTATCAAATTTCTTTATTTCAATTATTTTAACTACAATACTCCCACCTGAGGGTAGGCAACTAGTTAACTTATCTCTACCATGAGACTTAAAATAGGTTGTCTTATATTTATCTATTTGTTTTTCCATACTCCAACATGCTTTATAGTCCCTTATCCATTGTATAAAGTCCACCGTACAAAAGCAAAGCACTAGGAACTCATGAGGCAAGCGATACTGAATGACCAATTCAGAGGCAGTATAGAAGCAATACTTGCATTGCATAATAGGGTTTAACTGCTAAAGTCTGTTTAAATGCTTATTTAAAGTTAAATACATGCCCAGTTCCCATGCTTACCAGGTATGTCATAAGGAGGTAGCTTAAGAACAAAGATCCCCCCAGAAGCAGATGGCAGAGCAAACAGAGCCTCCCCATCACTGCTAAGCCAGGCTGCCGACGTGGTGGAATTAGGGGATATTCCGGGTACTGTTGGAATTAATTGATAGTTGCAAGGATCCCTGAAATCAACTTTTCCAATGTCAGTGAATACTGACTGCATCTGATTTTCAGTTACCAACTCCTATGGAGCAGTTAAAAAGAAAAATCTGTTAAATCAAAATAACCTGAATTTTGCCCTCAATTGCTAAAAAAGCTTTTAAAGTAAAAAATTATGAAGCTTAAGAAGAAAGCTGTTCTTTTTAATGAGAACTATTTCTTTTCAACTCACTCTAGACCTTAAGGAAAAAAAAAATCCACTATTTCTTCAACTTCAAATGTGTGTCTAATCATTTAAAATGGTAACTATCAAAGTATGCTTGGTGAGGGATAACAAAAGTCTAAATTTCCTTCAATTCCAAAAGATATTACTCAAGCACTAAATTTGTGACAGCCAGACTATTCTGAGAAATAAAACATACTACACTTAACCAACTTACACTCCTATACATCCGGGAAGGGTGTGGTAAAAGTAACCTGTGCACTGTTAGATTGGTTAATATCAAGATTATCACATGATTCTGAGTCTCAGAGACATAAACACCTCCAGGTAAGATGCTGCAATTTTGGAATTTTAGGCGGACTGCATTATTCAACAGATTTATGTCCAGTGACTCCTCTACCAGCTCCAATGTATCTCCGGAGGTCTTCCTGTTAAAAAAAGAGACATTTGTTTAAAAAGTTTATGCTTTTCTTTCTCATTGATTGTTGCATTGAAATATATAATAGCATTCAAGTGAACTCTCCAAATTTGAAAATTTTGGACAAACAGATTCAGACCACTTTTACATTCTAAATCACATTATGTACATTTATAAAACACGGCATAACAAAATTCAAATCTCATTATGATTCTGATAAATGGAGGCATTTCCAAACTTGATAGGCCATTTATTTAGGACAATATTCAATGCAATTAAACTCTACTATAATAAAAATTAACACTTCACACCCCCATTACTTATAGTGGAACATAGCCTCACACGTACTATAGTGTCAAACAAAATTGACTTTAATAATTGTGGGTATTTCCCTTTTCTATTACTTCTTAGCCTGCAATAGCACAAAACAATAGCAATTTTATGGGTTTTACCCTGATAGTTATTTGTGTGAGGTGCAGTATTTCTTACTAAAGAAATATTTTAAGATGGGCACAATGGCTCACACCTGTAATACCAGCACTTTGGGAGGCCAAAGTGGGAGGATCACTTGAGGCTAGGAATTCAAGACTGGCCTGGGCAACATAGAGAGACCTCCTCTCTACAAAAAATAAAAAAAATTAGCCAGATGTAGTGGCACATGCCTGTAGTCCTAGCTACTCCAGAGGCTGAGAGAGGAGGATTGCTTGAGCCCAGGAATTCAAGGTTATAGTGAGCCATTATACCCCAGCCTGGGTGACAGAGAGAGACCTGGTCTCTTTAAAAAAGAAAGAAAAGAAAGGAAAGAAAGAAAAAAAAATTAAAAATAATTTTGCATGCTGAACACATCAAGGTTAGTTAACTATTACTCCTCAAAAGGTGCTTGCTTACTAATAAATAATAGCAAGCTCTTTAAGTGTAGAGATTCTCTGCCATGTGCACGTGGATATCCACAGATTCAGCAAAGTACCTGGGACAGAGCTGGCATGCAATAAATGCTTTTGGGTAAAATGCATGCAAATTAAAAAAAAAAAAAAGCTTTGACTCAAACTCAGGTTGCAACAGAGGAGACAAAGCATTTTGCCTAAGGACGTTGGGTCTGACTTTAAGATTAAAACTCTTAATCTTCCATCCCTTGTGCCTAGCCTTTACCCATCACAGAGGCTATTATGTTACCTTACTCCAAGGAAGAAATTTCTTACTTTTAAGTATTTGTCACCTTAAAAATCACTGGCATAGGCCGGGC